TGATTTTTGCATCTGGGATTATAAAATGTCCCCAAGGGGTCTATAGAATTAGAAAATCAAGAGTTTCTTTAATAATGTAAAAATAAAAATAAAAAAATCTAGGTGGCTTCCTGAATGTACAACAACAACAACAACAACAACAATAATAATAATTTCGAGGTGGCTTCCTGAATGTATGATCAACTGTTGACACTTAGATTAACAGAAAAAGGTGGAGATAGGATTGTCAAGGGTAGAGCTTTAAATAATCTCAAGTTGCTTGGGATCTGTCTCATTTAGACTTTTTCGAGTAGACTTGAGAGATAAACAAGTATTAGATGATGAAGAGCATAGGGATTGCTAGAAAGCCGAAGTTAGTGGTATGTGAACACTTGCTCCAACAATCTTTTCTTTTTATTTCTTCAAGTCATAATTTAACTTCGCTGACCTCGTGGTTTGGATCCATCTCCACAATTCTCTTCCTCGAGGAAAAGTTCTTTTATCACAATGATGGCAATGGCTGAGGTTCTGGAACCAAATTATGCTTCAAAATACGCTTTTGGATGTTGGAAATAGATTTTGATGGACCTATTAATTGGTCATGGAGAATCTTTTGATAATAGTTCAGTCATATTGACCAAATAGATTGTGAGGAAAAGAGTTTAAGCGAAAAGCAGAGAAAAATGAAGTTAGCATGTAACGTAAGATGCCCTTTCTAACACATCTTGACATCCTGTATTCTAATTTGCACGAGATAGATGACAGTGAAGTGGTACAAGACAGTCGAATGTTCAAAATGCAAGGAAATGAGTGAAAAAGAAAAGTTAGACAACTTAGAGTGGGCAGGTAATTTTCACACTGTTAAGCTCCAGGTCAGCTGCAAAATCCAGAATATAGGTTCTTTCCATCCAGTAGTCATGTTTTCCAGTTATCTTACTCTTGATGGTGAGCCTCTCTTAATTCATTTTCTTGATTTAGGTGTTGTACTACCTGATATAGGCTATATCAACATTTTCGATTATGTTGATTATAGTGACCCCAGAGGTGTCCTCTTCATGTTTTAGTCCCTGAAGTGCCTTACATAAGGTTTTGCAACTTCTTTAATTCCAGTTTTTTTAATATTGAATTATATTCTGTGGCTTTGCCCGGTTGCTTTTTAGGTAGCACAATCTTGGTGGCCATTTTGGTTATAATTGCGTTTTCAATCTTTCTGTTATATTTGATAACATACTATGGTTGATTGTTCCCATTTTTATTACAACGGGATAAAGGAATGTCCTGCTTACGCTACTTGTTGGTTGTTCCCTAAGCGCTATTCTGTATTTGTCATTTCTAATTGATTTAACTGATTAAGGAGAAAATGTTAGCTGAATTGTCTTTGCTTGTAATCATTAGTAATTTTTGAATGCATACTACTTTTGAAGTGACTAGGGAAAATTAACAAAATTTTAAAATGGTCATTTTCAGTTTCGCAATTCCTTGAAAAATTGAGATTTAATCTGGGGCAACAGCGAGTAATAACTCGGCATGCTTCTAGTATTAATTTTCTTTTACAAAAAAGCACATTGTGCAGGGAAACAGTTACATTTATGTCACAAAACACCATAATCAACTGACTAAATGATGGATGGTCCAAGGGTTTCCCTTTCCTGACACGTGAGTTTGGGTGAGGGTTCTTCCAGGGGATCAATAAGTGTAAATGAAAAATTGGATCTTAATTTTCTTTTTTATGTCACATTCTCTTCATGGTAAGAAATTAAAAACAAAATTATATTCAATTGATAGGTTTTTGATGGGGAAAAGGGCAATGACTACCGCCGACAGTTGTTACCTTCATATAAAGCAAATAGGAGGAAATTATCCCAGCAAGTTCCTGCATCACAGAGGTTTCCAAGGAGTAGTTTTGGAAGATCACATAAACTTACTCTCTATGTTCTACAGAAGTGCAATGTACCCGTAAGTGAAGCTTCTTATTTATCCACTATGTTACCTTTTTAACAGAAAAATAGTTCATTATCGACATTTTAAGTTGATATAAAGCTTTCTTTTGCCATCATATGTCGTTGCTACCTAATTGGACGTGGAAGACAGCAATTTGTGCCATCAACATGAAGATCTTCAGGCCAGAAATTCTGTTAAAAGAAGTAACGGATGTAAACTTTGTCACCAAATTAAACTAAAAGCAAACTTCAAGAACTACTTTGGAATAAAATAAAGTTCGATGTATAATGTGAAACTTTTATAGGTTGATTGACTAAAAAGGTGTTTTTTTTCGGTCACAAATATTCATCCTTTTGAACATGCTTTGATGTTGAAAGGAAAAGGATCAATGATTTAGGCCATTTTTGAGAATTTTAATTCAATTAACTCAACATGCAGGTTGTTAAAATTGAAGGTCATGAAGCAGATGATGTAGTAGCAACGCTCGTTGAACAAGTTCTACAAAGAGGATATCGAGTTGTCATTGCCTCTCCAGACAAAGATTTTAAGCAGCTAATATCGCAAGATGTTCAGATTGTTATGCCTGTGCCTGAATTGGATAGATGGTCTTTTTACACCCTGAAGCACTACATTGCTCAATACAGTTGTGATCCACAGTCTGATTTAAGTTTACGTACGTATCTGATTTTTCCTCTGGAAGATTTTATACTACTGGGAATTACGTAACTGGGACTTTCCAAAGTGCCTATGGATAAAATAGTCGATAGGTTTAATATTTCAAGATAACCATGAACTACGACCAACAACATTATCATTCTATTCCCAGGAGTAGCTAGAGATGTATGGTTAAATACCTCCAGTGGTCACTACTTTTAGTGAAATCTCATTTTATTTCAAGTTGATTGCTGAACCTAAATTGTGTCAGGATTTGACCACACCAGCATGTATGTTTGTCTAGTTATTTGTTGAGTAAACTGTCATGTCAGCTTTTCCTTTAGAAACTAATGTGAATGACCAAGTTTTAACAAATGCTTAAGTTCATGACCATCTTGAAACAAAGTTGCAATGGCCAACTTAGAAGAAAATGAAGTTTAGTGACGAACATGAAATTTCTGTAGAAATGAGTAACCTGCCAGTGTTTTAACCTGATAATCATCTCCTTTTGTTCATTTCTCCTGATTAGTGGTCTTATGTATAGGTTGCATTTTGGGTGACGAAGTGGACGGTGTTCCTGGCATTCAGCATTTTGTTCCTGGTTTTGGTCGGAAGACAGCTCTAAAGCTCTTGAAAAAGCATGGTTCCCTGGACAATTTACTTTGTGCAGCTGCAGTAAGAACTGTGGGCAGACAATATGCACAAGAGGCTCTTACAAATTATGCTAACTTTCTGCGAAGAAATTATGAAGTTCTTTCTTTAAAGAAGTATGTTTGGTCAAAATGTTCTCCATTGGTGATACTCCGTTTTAATTACCATAATCTTTTCAGTCCTTATTCTCTGATTTTTTGAGTAGTATTTCTTAAGTTCTTGATACCACTGATTTGCATATTACAGGGACATTGATGTGCATGTTGAAGAGCAGTGGTTGTCTCGGAGGGATACACGCAATGATTCAGTTATTTTAGGCAACTTTGTGAATCTGCTGAGGGAAAAGCAGAACCTCTGTTGGCAGAATAGATCTCATTCGATGCATTAAGCTCCTATTAAGTTCTTTTGAAGATACACAAGGTAAAGTTGGTATGTTAATATGGCTCTAAAGTAGTGGTGTCAATTGGGCTGAGCCAATTGCAAAGAGGCAGAGAACGGCCTGCTAGTCTGGGTTGACCTGGGTTTTTTGTTTCTTTGGGCAGCCACATTTCTCTATGACCCGTCTATGTCTGTAGGCCCATCCCTAGGAGGTCCGGTTGAGAAGGGCCTGACTGGTCAAATGTACTATTGTTTTGATTTTATATTTTCGATAGTGTGGGCTGGCCGGCATGGGACTATGGACCATAGGGCCAAGCCCATAACTGAATGAGGGCAGTCCCACGTTGGCTTTTCATGCCTAGCCCACGTGACACCACTATAAAGTCTAAAGTAGTATTTATCTCTAAATTAGTAATGCTCTTGACACTAGCATGAGTTGTTTGATTTGGGTGGGAAACAAGCCAAATACAATGTTCCTAAGAGTCAGAAACTGGTTAGTTCCAGGTCGACTATTTAACAATTCGGGTGAATTCGTCTTGAAGTCAAACTTCTATTATCTATAATACTTCTCGTTCCTTGACTGACTTGAAGCCCCGATTGGCCAATATGCTGTAGACCATTATGATTTTATGTATGCACACCGGTACCAAGTACCAGAGTCGTGTTTGATCAAGAATGCCGGATGTTGGAGTTATTGCGCAGTGATGAAATAGGAGACATGCGTATCCAGTGTAGGTAAACAACTGAACGTCCTCTCTCTTGTTATGTGTACGTGAGTGCACAGGCGGCCTGGCTCATGGTTATTGCCTTTGTGCATGTGGGGATGTGTGGTAATGCAGCAACTGAAGTTTGTAAGGTTTTTTAAATTTTTTTTGGTGAAATTAAAAAAAAAAAAAAAAAATATATATATATATATATATATATATATATTGTAATGGTTAAATGGATGAAAATTAAAATATTGAGATAAGATTTTTTTTTTTTTTAAAATTTTAAAAGCTAAAAAACTAACTTGCTATGCATATCATAAGCAGCATAAATAGTTTAATGAGAGCTCGATTTTCCCTTTAAGAATATCATAATAGCACAATTAAAAGTTTATTCTTTATTGATGCACAAAAACTATCAGGAGGATTACGTGGACCCAAAACTCACTATATCAGAAATTAATTCAAGGGAGAAAAAAAAAAAAGCAGAGCAACTGTTTGAATTTCATGGTATCCCAATTTTCAATGAAATAATTAATGAGTTAAGGAGACAAATGGACCCCATAACCACAGATGGAGACTTCCTGGAAACATAGTGAAAATGTATACGTTATTGCGCCGGATTGATCCATAAACCCAATAAATAAAAAAGAAAAATTAAATAAATATATTTGACAAAGAGAAGTGGAAGAGATGCTTATGCAGGATTGAATTCAACAGTACACAACTTGCCTATTTTCCATTCCCCAGCTGTTTAGATGCCATTAGTCTCTACTCACAACACAAAAACAGCATCTGGGCTATCTTTAATCCGGTTAGTATACATCTATTATCTATTTTCTTGGATCAGAATTTATATTTTTCTTCTACGTTTTTTCTTGAAGATTCTTAAGTTATTTCTTAACTTTTCAATTTTGAGTTCTGATTTATTTCACTTCTTGATATGCTTAAATCCTGTGGTTATTTTGTTCTAAGAAGAAACCAAGTCTAGTAATCTTGATATGAATCTCAGACTTTGATTTAAACATTTGTGTAGAACAAAAGAAAGAAGAAAAAAGACTAATTTTTTATTGGGATTCTGGGAGCAGTGGACTGATTTTTAGATTTGTTCTCAGTTCAAATTGAAGAGAGATGTTTTTATGTTCCTTTTTTGGGTGTTTATGATTTGATTTGCGAAGCAGAGGCTGCTGATAGATGGTGTGGAGTCTAATTATACTGAATAGTATTAGCCTCGACTGCATATCAATTTAATATTCTTACATAAATAAAGAATTTTTTCTTAAGGGTTTTTATATATATGAGATGCTGCTGTAATCTTTTTTCTTGTTCATGGTGAAAACTTGCATCCAGCGAGTGGTCATGGGACTATAAATCTGCTGTTTGTTTGTATGTTCTGATTTTTCCTTTTTTGCTCAATATAACTCAAATAGTCTGAATAAGGAAAGCAAGGGAGAATAAGATATGTTGAAGGCTTATACGTAAATTGAAAATTTGAGTTTAGTACTCTTTTATATTAATACTAAAACATGAATGAATCTTTACTTAATTATTTGGAAAACTGAGTATTTCCTTTTAAGCTTCTAGGTCATGTGTGGTAGGGGATTAAGAATTAAAACCAAGAAATAAAGCTATTATATCTTCTAATGTAGTGTGTGCCAAATATGCACTTGGTGTCATCTTACACAATATGCTTATTTTCATAGTTTAACTCTTTACTTTGCATGAGAATTGGCTAAAACTTTTTAATGCTTCCCCTTTGATGCAGTTGTAACAGCATTGATTGATACTCAAGAAACATTTTTTTATGGATCCAGAAGATAAGATATGCGAGGATACATGGATAAAGTCTTCCTCGAGCCATGAATCTTGTGAACCGCCAAACAATCAACATTTAACCAGTTTTGACTCATTGCAACAGAAGATGGATGGTTCGTCATCATTTCTTGATTATGGAACGACATTTGATGAACAATTCCCCAGTTTCAATCAGCCTTCCGTTGCCCACAAGATCAATGACAAATATCCAGTCTTGGGCAAACATGACAATCAGATGAGTGAGGCTCAACCGTTGAACAAAGTTGAAGATTGGGATCCAAGAGCAACGCTAAACAATCTTTCTTTCTTGGAGAAAAAGATACATCAGCTTCGGGATATGGTGCACTGGATTGTTGGACAAAGAGAACAAGTTATGGATCAACGTGATCAACTTTTGGTTCATCAGCAGCAGCTTATCACCACTAATCTCACTTCGATTATAGTTCAAATGATTTCTACGGCTGGCAGTCTTCTTCCATCTGTCAAGCATACTGTTTCCTCTTCGAGTGCTATCAATTCGCTTGGGCATTTTGGTGGGGTACAGAACTCTTCTGGAATTTTTCCGAATATTGGAATCCCGAATGTTAACAATGTAAACAAAGTGGATACGTCGAACCAAACTGATCTAACCGGATTTTGTGGGGCTGAGCAGAACTGTTCTGTTGAAGATCATGAGTTAAAAAGTGATGATGATGCTGATGAAGGTGAGAACCTACCTCCAGGTTCTTATGAAATTTTGCAACTCGAGAAGGAGGAAATCCTTGCTCCTCACACCCATTTTTGCACGATATGTGGAAAAGGATTCAAGAGAGATGCCAATTTAAGGATGCATATGAGAGGTCATGGAGACAAGTACAAAACTCCAGCCGCTCTTGCAAAACCCAGCAAAGAATCGACCTCTGAATCAATGCTCATCAAAAGGTATTCTTGCCCTTATGTTGGCTGCAAACGCAACAAGGATCACAAAAAATTTCAGCCCCTGAAGACTATCTTATGCGTAAAAAACCATTACAAGAGAACTCATTGTGACAAAACGTACACTTGCAGTCGATGCAATGCAAAGAAATTTTCAGTCCTTGCAGATCTCAAAACACATGAGAAACATTGTGGTCGAGATAAATGGCTTTGCTCATGCGGGACAACGTTCTCTAGGAAAGATAAACTTTTTGGTCATATCAGTCTCTTCCAAGGTCATACTCCTGCTATTCCTGTAGATGGACCATCTGATGCTGGACAAAGTAGCGAAGCACCGAAAGTTGGGCAAATGGATTTCAACTTTAAGTCGAGTGCACCAAGTGGAAGTGCATTTCAAAATGCTATGGATGTAAAATTTTCTGGAGATGATGCTACAAGTATTTCACCATTAAATTTTGACACTAGTGTCAGTGGATTCAATGAATTCCCTCGACCACCATTTGAAGACGTGGGAAGTTCATTTTCCTTTCTACTTTCTGACGCATATGGTTACCCTCCAAAGAATGGAAGATATTCGAACTCAAATGATGTAGAATAGGATCAATCTTTAGATTGAATATTTCACTGGGGTTGTAAAACATATCGAAATCCATGTACCTGCAGTTGTTTTAACAAAATAAAAATTGTTTTATTTAATTTCTTGATATCACGTATGTTACATCTTTGTGCTTTGTTTACTATCTCTTCTACTTATGGAAATGCAGTGTTTAATCGAGTTTTGGGAGTGGTTAGAAGTTTCTGTTTGTGCAAATTTCTGTCACAGTGTGAATAAAAAATGTTCAGATAAACGAAATAATAGCCGGAGAAAACAAAAGCCGAAGTAATTTCCATAGAAGTCCTTAAGGCTCGAAGAGTCTGCCCTCGCGAGGCTGCTGGCATCGCTGAATTCTCTTCCAATGTTTTTAACTCTATTGAATCGATACAAACAGAAAGCTGGGGGAAATTTTTAATTGACAGAGAAGCATTTTCGAATGAAATGAGAAACTGAGATTCTGATATTCTACATGACAGCAATCCTCCCGATACGCCCATAATTAACTTCTATAAATCGGAGATCAAAAGAAGAATTTATAGCTAAATTGTTCAGCTGACTGAACTAATCTTCCTGAAATTGGAATTGTGCAATAGTACGAGTTTCAATCCCTTCACACCTTCTCCAGATTTCGACAGCTTCTTCAGAGGGCCAGGATAATATTTATCCTTGAGAACAGCATCGTCAGCAAAAGTCCAAGTAGGTCCTCTCGGAGCGCTGTCCATGTACAAAAACCTGTCAGAGAATGGATTCACTAAACTATCGCGGAATTCTTCTGCTGTTTCACAAAGTACACCCTGTAACAAACAATAAAGCAAAGCCAATAATTTTATTCCAAATAAATAAAAGCAATGGGAGCCAGGAGAAAGAACTATGTGGGTTGTCTTATCTTACTTCTGACATGGCCTTGATCTTGAGAGTAACATCATCACTAAGAAGGACAAGTTGTCCATCATTCCTAATTCGTTTGAAGAAAAGAGCGCATTCAAGGATATGATCTTCTGTGGTGGGTGTAACAATATCCTGTATGCTACATGGAGAAAATGGAGATGAGCCAATAGAGAATATGCCCTTCTCCTCACAATACCAAGATAAAGGAGAAGAAGGTGGGGTTGGTGCAACTGGTCTTTGTTCTTCAGCCAAGCTCTGCACATGAATCCACCCTTCTGCATTGTTCATACACTCTTCGATCCATTGCAGTGCTGCAGAAACCTCTGTTGTCCGTCTAAAGAAATTGCCTCGTCTCAACATGCAATCCAGTTCTCTTATGACTAATAAAATAATTAAAAATGAATATTCAAACTTCATAACAATGTAAAGCAATATGTATGTGACAGTAAACTAATGAAGTAAATTACCAATTCTAGGAACTATCAAACTAGTCCCCTTGAGACCTTTCAAAAGATGCAATTCCTTCCTTGACTTTTTGTTTAGCAAACACGCAACGTCCACCACCATGGTCCACCTATTGTATTCCTCCTTAATGGTCTTGCTCTGAAAACTCATGTAAAATAAGTATCACATCCATAAATATCATCTAAAGAAATAATGAAATCTTGAATATAATTACTGAAAGAAGAAGATGAAAACATATATTTTTCTTCCTAGCCACATTTTCTGCACTTAGAGAACATATGGACATTTTTCCACACGACGAACGTCAGTTTACACCTAGAAACTATGTAACATAGCTCCTGTTATTAGATAAAAGCAAACATGCATTTGCAAAAATATGAATCCTTGACGTAAACAAAGAGAAAATAAGAACTCTATCAAACTTACCTCAAAAGGGTGAATGACCTCTTCATGTCGAAAAGAGTTGATAGATTTGCTGCTTTTCATAGTGCCATCGAGGTCCGAAGCTTTTGACTTAGTCTTACTGTTACTGGTAGAGTTCACAAGCAGAGATTGCAAAGGCTTTCTATCTGCTGTAGCTTTCAATAACTTTTTCTCCAACACATTATGACTTTTTGATGCAGGATTTACTAATTTCGATTTTTGAAGAACTTTCAGAGTCTGATTTTCTTTATCCAAAGAGGCAGGCATTTCGTCCTCTCGATACATGTTACAGTCAACAACGGTCTTCAACGGCAATGATCTGTATGACTTCGGATTCTCAACTGCTTTCAACTTCCCCATCTTCTTCGTGTACATCAGTTGAAGAGTATTTGGAGTCATATTCTCTTTGTCTGGAGTGAAAATTACTTCGTCATCCTCATCAGCACAATAAAACATAGTCTGTGAAGTTGAGTCATTCCTTGAATTCTCTTGGTACTCAACTTTTTTCAACTTACCCATCTTGTTCATGTACCTGAGTCGAATAGTATTTGGAGTCATATTCTCTTTGTCTGGAGTGAAATTTTCTTCTTCATCTTCATCAACACAAGAAAACAGAGTCTGAGAAGTCAACTCACTCCTTGAATTCTCTTGACCTTTGTTCTCCAATGACTGAAGTACAAGAGAATTGGAAGAGCAGTTCTCCTTGTCTGGAGTGAAGATTTGTTTTTTATCACAATCACCTCTTATAAAAGGATCTTCGGAAACTGATTCAGTTTGAGAATATCCGTGAATTGGTGATTTAACTTCGGGATTGTCTGGAGTGAAAATTTCTTCATTATCCTGATTTACACCAGAAAATAGAGTCCTCGAGTTCACCTGAGCCATGTTCTCCAAGGACTGAAGTACAAGAAAATTGGAAGAGCAATTCTCCTTTTCTGGAGCAAAGATTTGCTTTTCATCTCTGTCACCACTAGAAAAAGCACCGAGGGGAACTGTTTCAGATTCGGAATATTCACGAGTAGGTGATTTAACTTCAGCATTGTCTTGAGTGAAAATTGCTTCCTCATTCAGAGCTACACAGGAAGACGAAGTGCTTGAAATGAATTCACTCCTCAAGTTCTCCTGACCTATGTTCTCAAGGGACTGAAGTAGAGGAGAACAATTCTCCTTGGTAGTAAAGATTTGTTCTTTATCAACGTCATCACTAGCAAAATGACCTTCAGAAACTAATTCAGTTTGGAAATATTCACAAATTGGTGATTTAACGTCAGTATCGGCGGGAGTGAAAATTGCTTCTTCATCCCGATCTGCACAAGGAAAAAGAGTCCTTGAAATGAATTCACTTCTCGAATTCTCCTGACCTATGTTCTCCAGGGACTGAAGTAGAGGAGAATTAGAAGAGTGATTCTCCTTGACTGGAGTAAAGATTTGCTTTTTAATAATGTCGGGACTGGCAAAAGGTTCATGGGAAACTGATTCAATTTGGGAATTTCCATGGATTGGTGATTTAACAGAGGAACTAATTGTAATCCTTCCACATTTTCCTCGACTCCTGCTGATTTGAATCTGAACGCTGGCTGGTTTGCCCCTTCTGGACCAAATGCTCAAACTAGATGTTTTCTCCAATTTCACTTCAGAAATAACTGAATTTTTCCTTTGAGGTACTGTTTGAGACACTTCCGAGGCTAAAGGCACAGCATCTACTGTGCTGTTTTCTTCATGGTCTATTTCAAATGAGTTCTTATTCTCAACTTCCTGTTTGTCAGAGAATGAATATTTCATATCTTCAGGCATCGGAGGCGCTGATGGACTCATTTTCTGGACAGATGAAATCATGTTCTCGTTTGCAAATAGCAGTTGTAAACCTTCCAAATCATCAACCGGTCTCTGAATTCGATCTTTTTCTCCATTCGAATTGTTCTCATCCTAGAACATAAAATTATAGAAAATGAAAAAGAAAATTAAACATATATCACTATTAGTATAATAATATTCTTGCATATTGATTTCTTAATATTTACGTGATAATATTCTCCTCCTGTTTCTTCTACCGCATCTGATGTATCAAATGGAGGCACAAATGTGTTGTCTAAATCATAAGCACGTGTGATTGGAAGCCAATGTAACCGGTACAACCTTCTTGATCCCCCAAGCTGCATTGTATCGCCTTCTTTCAACTCTACCATAACCCCGGGTTCAATTTTCTTTCCAGAAATCCAAGTCCCGTGTACTGGAACAGAAACCCCATAACTCAGTATTCAAGAAAACCTCATCAAATTTCAATCTCCAGTCATAAAATAACAAACTCATAAATCACATCATCATAGTCATTGCCATGCATCCAACTCAGAGCACTGAGACTCGAAATTTGGTATTTTGAGTAAGAATCAATATTCCAAAAAAAAAAAAGAATCATACATCCCCAGAGAGAGATCGATTATCAGATGATAAAAATCTGTGGATAACTATTTAAACTAAGAAATATATCCATGTACACTTGTAATTCCTACCCATTAAGAAAACTGCATGACCGCAGGCTAAATTCTATTAATTTCATTGAGAACTACAAAAAATGAAAACCAAGAATGATAAAGATTGAAGGGAGGAGGAACCCAAATCAAAATAATATCATCTACTTGTTCTGTTACACGCGCAAGGGAGGAGGAATCAAAAGCGCACAATCCAACTTCCAATGCCAAAGAAATACCTAATAAAAATTTCAAAACATGTATAAACACATACAAGGAAGAGAAGAGAAATTATACCAGAATTCAAGTCAATGACAGAGAGGTAGTGCGAGGAAGGGTTGGAATGGACGCGGAGGTGGAATCTGCTGATACTAGGATGTTCCAATGTGATATTGCAATCGGGATGGCGTCCAACGAACAACGTTTCTTCCTTCGTTGATTCTTTTCCATACTTGGATCGGTTGAATTCCACTGGAGAAGAAGAAGGGATTGAAGGTGGGTTGTCCAGGAGATAGATATTCTTGAGAATAGAATTGTTCTTTAGCACTGTGAAAACTGGAATTTCCGATTTCATTTCTGATTGTTCTTGCTTGTCCGCCATCGCAGAGAGAGACTGCGTGTGAGTTTTTCTTGTTTCTTGAAGTAAAGTGGGACAGACTTTGGGGATTTTGAATGAATCTTGTAAAAGGTGACCGTTTAAAATGGGTGTAGTACTTCTGTGATGTGAAACGGCTACTTTCAATTTAAACCAAGAAGTTAATGAATAGTATTTCTTTGGTACTCTTTTTCTTTCTATTTTGCTGGCATTTTTTTTACCTCTCTTTGTTTTAAAATCCCAAGATCTTTCATATCATAACTCAAAAGAAAGCAACCTATTATTTCTTGAGAAATTTTAAAAATGTAAAATAAATCGAGTCAAATAACCTATGAACCCAACACGGCTTGTGAACAAAAATGTGAGGCTCGGCATGAGTCAACAAGCTCGAGAAATTGATATATAAATAATCAATTATAAATAAATGTTTGTCTTCAAGTACACGATGATTAAAATTAATTCTCTCTGAATATCATTGTAAATTGAACAACTCTAATACAAGTGTCACACCCAAGACAGTTATACTGTAGTATCATCCATGAATTCTTGGTCTCTATAGTATGTCACCACTTTAGAAGAAGGCACATCAAGTTACATTTCTATCTTATACATTGTTTTGACTTGTTACCTTATTTAAATAAATTTGTTAGATTTTTGCTCTATTTTGTCTGAACATTTTCTCCCATAGAACTAGATGGAAGAGTTAAATAACAGAGTATCACAAACCGTTATTTAGCGCACGAATATCGATTTGAATGGAATAAATTGAATTTTTTTTCACTTGGTACCTATACTCCTATAAATCAATCAATTTGACATTTAGATTCTATCTAATGAAAATCAAATGATGACCAACAGATATAGATCTTGAATATAATAAAAAATATAAATAATCAAACAATTTCTATCCTGCAAGAGCACAAGAGACAAGAAGTCCAAACTTCCATAATTTTCAACAATAAACCCGAGGCATCTTGCTATAGGAGGAACAAAACTGTTCAATCCTCTTTGCCACGAGCTACTCTTGTTCGATGTCTGAGTTCAGCCCTTTTCCATCTAACAATCAGATAACAAAGTGAAAATAAGGTGTTCACCTGCAAATAGAAAGTAAAGCATGAATTGCTCAGGTGAGAAACCATCAGTAGAAGAATAATAAGTACGCAATACGATACACTAATTCTTGCTATTGAAACATTTTTAACTTCTTTTTCTTCCTCAGTACTTTTCAAAATTATACAATCTTCTAAGTCAAACTTGCCACTAGGTTACTGAAGACTCACCAGGATTATGATTGCAATCACCAACAATGGCCCGGACCAGAGTACAGAGAGAAAAAGTCCACGTGGGTCGAAATAATTTTGCCCTGCAAAGCTTTTCCAGTTTCCAGCCAAGAAATTATTAAGCCTCTCAGCAAGATAAACTCCTCCCACTGCATAATGAGGCTACTGAATTAAGTAAACTGCATTCGGAAATGTATCCATATAAACTGCATTTGAGGTTAATAAGGAAAAACAAACTCTACATAAATGTTGTTTGCCTCCCTACTCAGGCTCTAGTAGCTCATAATTACATAATTGTTGTTTGCTCGAGTGAGATGTGATTAATAGCATGTTTGGCAAATAAGCCCATACTTATAAGCCATGGGACGGACCAGAAAAAGACAACAGATTCTATATTAAAATTAGATAATCTCCCAATAGCAACAGTGATTATTTCATATTAAAATTGAATATTATGCCTTGGCAACAGCAGCTATCATTTTCTTCAACACCGTATCTTTAAAAGCCATGGGTACATTAAACATTTGAGCCTGTTTTTTAATGAAACTACTGCCTTGTCTCTTCATTCTAATTACTGGGCTCCCTTGCATCAGGGTCTTCTTATAGAATGCTAGATTTACGGACAATTGTAGCCAAACTTTTTAGCAATACAGATAACAGTGACTCCCTCAAAGACATCTAGGGGGTGTTTGATAGGCATTTTTGTGTAAAAATGCATTTTAGAATAGTAAATTGATGTGAAATATGTGGTTAAGAAATAAGGAAATTTTTTTGATTTACGTGAACTATTATTTTAATAAAGAATATGTGGTTAATAAGAAAAGAGAGAAAAATGCATTTTGAAAAAAATGACTACCAAACCGGGCCCTAATCTTAACGAACAAAGTCCATGTATGACTTAGCATACAAATAATGGAAACAAATATTTGGTGAATGCATATTTTCTAGCACAACTTTATCAACAGTTAAGCATGCACAACCCCCCCCCCCCCCCCTTTTTAAGATAAAAAGAAGAATGCAGAAAACGAGTTACAGCAAGATAAACATACGTGCAAGAAGGAACAAGCACATTTGAAAGTTGATGTTCTTCCTAGACAACAGAGTTAGTAGCAGCAAAGCCACATGGAAGGAAAGAAGACATATCAACCAAGGTTCCTGCAGACAAGAAGTTTAAAGATCAGAGAAACGAGCTTAAGGGTTCACATAAATAAGGATAAAGTATCATTCTAAACAGATATAACACCAGAAAAATGACAGAATAAAAACACACAACGAAGACTGATAGGTGAGATGAGTAAATAACTTATGGTCGACATATAGAATTGACAAAATCTATATGGAAGTTCCAATCACCATAAAAGAAGAAACAAATTCTTTTGGATTTTCCTCTAATGTCTTCCAAACGTCGCCATAAGTCAAATTGATACCAAGATTCAACTTAAGTCTTACTTAAGGGAAAAGTCATGGGTTTGAATCCTAGAGAATGCGATAGAAAACCATGACAGGTAAGATAGGCTCAGGCTCTCTCGAAAGTGGACAGTACATACGATATAACGGTTTGGACACAAAGGCTAGGTCATTACAAAATCAATATCAGCTGCCACTTTATTTCATTTCAACAGCCTCCCCTACTAAAGCAGCATGTAAACTGATTTCCACTAGTGTCATCCTATCTCATAGCAAGAAGGAAAACAAAGAAAAGAAAGAGAGATGTAGAGAAGAAGATAAAGCAAAGAAGTGAACATGAAAGTTATACAGAAAACAGAAGAAAAGCTGAAGTGGTAGAAAAGAACGGAAGAGATTCCTGTGAACAGGTTCTAGAAAGAGAATTCCAGCAATCATCAGCTCTACTATAACAGCAGGGAACAATTATTTTCCAACAGAAAAGACCAAAGGCATTCCTTTCTAATAAACAATTGACAGCAGAACTCAACAAAAATACCACTACATTTAGGCTATCTTCGGTTATTTTTTCGACATGATTTGATGATTGGAGTGCTCAGAAAGATATAAAATCATTTTTTTCCAGCATTAGAAATCAAATATTTACATTTGGAAATGCATAAAAAAAGGCTTTTAAGCAATCTGTGCTCAAATGTCCTCTTTATATGCATAAGCAGGTGGAGCTTAGTTTAGAAACTAAATGTGCATGTAAGAACTCAGGAAAAGAAGTTAAAGTAATACTACTACTTTCTGTAACTGCATATGAGCACTTACATGCTTTGTTTGGGCTGATAACCTATGTCTAACACTCTTTTAAGTACTCATAACTAAAAAGCACTGTAATGAGTAATTTATTAGTAGTATACGGCCTGATGAGCTCCAATCTCAAACAATCTCTTAATCATAATCAGTTTTGGGACAATCCTTTCTGAGTTCTCAGAAAACTAGAAAATGGATTTAAAAGGCAAGAACCAATCATGATCGTGAAACCCTTAAAACATTAATAAATTTATTTCTCACTTAATCAGTAATCAAGATTCCAGAAACTTTATAACTAAAGGACTCCCCCATCTTTAAGTTTGAGCAGCGTATCTCTTAAATTCCTATAGGTAATAGCATGTCTTAACTGCCAAAAATGAAAACTACAGAAATTGTTTCCATACACCCATATTCCACGACCATACAGGTCTATTACATGATATGCACCAAAACTAAAGCAGGCCACCCTTAGAGAGAAATAATGAATATTAAAGATCTTGGGCAAAACCAAAGAAGGGTTTCCTGCACTTTCATCAAAAATATTTCTATATCCCGATAGACCCAATGCCAAATAGTATGTCCTAGCTACACCTTCACAAGTCCAAGTCACCAAATTCGTTACTCAAACCTCCACTTTAGATCAAGAAAAGGGCTAGAAGAATCAAAAACTGCTAATTCATACAGAGCCCTCAACTAGAAACCACACATGTATGCATGAATGGAAAGCAACCGATCAGGATCATTCTAATACAATTGTATCAACACGATACCAAGGTAGACTCAAGAAAATACCTCTTTATCAAAGATAAACGAACACTGTGTAACTTTACTGTATTGGAAAAGCTATACTATAACTATCCTATAGACCTCTACTGTTCTGAAATAATCCACTAAACCAAGGACTATTTGTTTAATTCTACAGGTATTAATGAAACAATTTTGTTCTTAAGGACAACGAGAAGCAAATTTATTCTATTATACCCAATAATACAAATATTCATTAGGGGTTGATACTATTTCCTATCTGTTAAAGTGACCTTCATTATTCCTAATTAGAAGGCCCAGCTCGTCAAAAATATCTTTATTTCTTCCCTTGTTTTTCTTTCGAATTTTTCTAATCTATGGATAAAATAAATAAAAATAAAACATCAATATTATAAAGACAAAAAAAAAAAAATAATGTTATCACGTTTCCACATCAAAAGGAAATGTAGTGCTTAGTTCTTTATTAGAATTACTGCCTATTGGTGTTCCAAAAATACCTTTCGAAGTCCTTGGAGAGGAAGATGCATCTTAGGTTAACAAATAGTGTGACTTGTCAGATATTGGGTTATATGGAATTTCATTGCTCTCTCCACAGATCTAGATATCCTCTATTTCACCCAAAAAATATAAATTGAATAATAAAAATTTGGAAAAAAAATTACTGGTTTGCTTGGTTGGACTAAAAAATGAAGTATTCAGGCTCCGTTGAGAAAAAAACTCAATTGTGATAATAATTTGTAGCATAAATTATTCGTTTAGTATTTGTAAAGAGATCCTATTTGTCAAGAGGGAATCTCAAACTAAATATTTGGTGAAAGGTATGAAATGAATTGAAAAAACGAAAGCCATAACAAAAAGAAATCATAATGGGAATATTTGTCCTCTATGTGAAAATCAAAGTCGTGCTTACATTAAGTATAAACCTAAAAAGGTGAAAAGACCAATTCAAGAACAAGAAAATATCATAATGATTTGGATTGAATCTCGATGAAACAAATCGATAAGAAGTTAATTCGATGAGTTTAATGACTTTTTCTATTACAAGGAAAAAAGGAGTTAAAATCCATCTTTGCTGAAAAATTGAACAAAAAGTCATTTTTTCTAGAAGTTAGGAAAAAACTGCTATGAAAAAAGAATAGGAACAAAGAAAGAGGACTTGAATCTACAAGGTCATTTTTTCTTTTTCTTTTTCTTTTTTTCGGTTTGCAATTATTTTTTTAATGGTATATGTTAAAAAGTGCATATACGATTCCCAAGGGATACAATTTTACCCCAATCAACCAGACTTCATCAAGAAAGATTACTTTTATTTGACCAAGAAATGGATAGCAAGATATTAAATTAAACTATTGGTCTTATACTATATCTCAGTAACACAGATGCCACCAAAGATAAGTACTTGTTTACAACTCTTCAGGTGATACATGAAGTAGCTATTTACGATACTATGCGATCTATGCGACCAAATGTCCAAAAAACATGCATGGGATTAGCCGCCCCGCATCAAGAGAATATTTTATCCTGGTTGCAAGAGAAATTACCAAATGTCTAGCGTTCCCTCAAGCTTGACGACAATTTTTTTTTTTTTTTTTTTTGAGAGAAAAAAGAAAACTATGCCTTTGCCATATAAATATTAAGTAATGATATGCAAAGTTTTGTATTATTTTTTTCAAAAGATTAAATTATGAATCAAGAGTAGTACTAGACCAAAGGTATTTTCAATTTCTCTTATCTATCAAGAGTCCTTTTTAGCGTCACAATCTTTTTTATTTTCCTGCCGAAGAACTCTTAACAATATTTATGTTTTTATGAAAAGACAGTGCAAAAGAAAAACAAGATTTTTTCCTTATATAAGAAACTTTAGTTGTTGCTGAATAATTAAAAAAAGAAGAATCAACTTTAAAAAGGAAAGCAACAAAGCCATCATAGTATTTTTTTAACTCCTCTGAAAGGAAGGTTGGCAATTTGATCATTTATCCATTTATTCATCTGGGTGGAAGATCAGGATCAATTTTATATTTTATGGAGTCATAAGCAACGCACAAAAGATTGTTCAATTCTTTCTGTTTTTTTCCTTTTATCCTTTATCTTTCTTTCTTTTTTCTTTGTTTAGTCACACGAGACAGAGAACTGTTATATTATCAAGGTTAGTGATGCACAAATAGGTTCCAATTTTGCATGTCCAATTTTTGCCAGGTCAAGAATCGGGATGTTATGGATGCTAATGTCTAAAGGATCCTAAAGTCCATTCTATCCCTGTGAAAATAATGTACTATCCTTTCAAAGGGCTTGTAAAAGTTTCATCAAGATGCTGTGATAGCTAGGGGAAAAAAATTCTAAAAGCATCTATTGTCCTCTGTCAATCTCTTTATATTGACATGAGTTATATTCTAAATAAAATGCCAACTTCACTGCAGTTGACTCGAAAAAAATATCCTCAACCACTTTTCTGTCATGCACACCAGAACACATCTGCTACCGATTGAACAACGAGAGGATTAACATCAGCAAATCACTTCTTCCTTCTTTTCAAATGGAGGATGTTGTTCCCTATTGTTGAGGAGGAGAATGGAAACACGACTACCCAAGTATTACTGCCTAACCTAATTTTCAACAGTGCATCTCATGGAAAGTAGTTCTAAAAATGAAAATTGCATCCAATGGGTGCTAATTTTCAGTGTGGGGATGATTTAATTAAATCATGGCAGTTCCAATTGGAGCAATTTCTTGGATGGAAAGGATAGCTAACATGCTTTCATATTCAACCATAAGATTTATCTCCTTAGCTTTTGTCAGTATGTACCAACTTGTGCATTCGAGCTTATCCCATGAAAAGCCTAGTAAGTAATCCATGATGTTCTTAGTTCACAGTTAGTTACCATTATTACAAACCATTTTCTTACCTTCATTTACGCTCTAAATAAACAGTTTGCTCGAACATAGAGGAAACCTAGATTGTAAGGCTTGAGTAATGAACTTCAAACCACCATGAGCTTATTTTCAGATAGGTCAAATATTAATTATAGTACGGTGCTACATACTAACTAAATATATAGAGGCAGCATTCCTTTCAACATTAATCTGACATATGTTCTTGTATACTATTACATAATATTTACAAAACATTTGGTACGCCTTTTATTTTTCAACTCTTACTTTAGTAAGATGCTTTTATTTCAAAGAAAAAACTTCGAAACAGGTGGTCGGCCTTAATTTTTCTTTTTTTTTTTTAAATACGATATAAACTCTGAACCTAAAAAAGGAATACCAAATTCATGTGCTCTAACTGTAACATTTTCCAATGATTGGTTGATCGTAACTTCAATTATTTCAAGAAATAAAACAATTTACTTAAAATCCACGAAGCAATAAAGGGCAAAACTAACATACTAGTACACAACGATGCACTATACATTCTGGTAAGGAATCTGCTCAAGTTTGAGCATATTCCAGTCCAGTTATCAAATGGGTTCTCAGTATATTCAATTCTTCTGACAAGCAACACATTAATCAAGAACCACGAAAAACGAAAATTGCAGGAAATAAATTCTATTCACAATCACACGCGTTCTCATATATATTCGTGATTATAGATGCATATATGAATCCATAAGTGTGAGTTTTTATGCATAATACCTTCCAATCAATGGCATGGAAGAAGCCCACTAAATTTTCATAAGCAGGGTTGAGTCCAGAGCGTAGTTCAGCCGTCAATTTTTCCACTAGATCTGCCATTTGATCCATGTGAGCATTCAGAGCAGATTGCAACTCTTCCATTTTTTTCTTATTTATTACTCGATCTCGATATAAATCTTGAATGGCTCAATTGTCTACTTCTTTGGGTTTCTTCCGAGTCTAGAGTGCTCTGGGAGACGCTGCAATGGTCGCTATTCGCACGCTCTGCCTTTTATGCACAGATAAAGTTGGCATTCACGCTCTGCCTTTTATGCACAGATAAAGTTGGCATTCATTTTATTTTCCTAGAGAATCTGGCCAGGGTACGTGCCATTTAGCATTTCTCATTTATTTTTCACACCGATTAATAAATCATGTTTATAACGGTAGAATTCCATTTTTTTAGGAATAAAAATGAAAAAAATAGTTGTTATGGATCCATGCAAGAGATAGAAAGTCTATTAATGACTTGATGTGATGGATAACGATCATATTTTTTATTTTTGTGAGCAAAAAATAAAATCAAACGAGAGCTTAATGTTATTTAAAAAGTAACTTTTGTCAAAAATTTTCCTAGTTTACTCTTACTTATATGTGTACAATTTTAAGATGAAAATTGGTTATAATTAGACAAATTAAATGAGGATATATTAGTAAGTGAAAATTACACCGTCCCAAGTGTTTAAAGATTGTGATGCAAACATTAGGTGTGAAAGTTTTTATGGCACATGTCAGGTTTTTATATAATTATTAAATGTGAAATATTTATTTTTTATCATTTAATAATTAGCTGATGTGTATATTAACTGATGGAGCATTTACTTAATTATCGTAATCCAAATTATATTTTTCTTAACTACCATGTCAATCATCTCCTCTCTCTCTCTCTCTGTGTCTCCACGATTTCACGTAATCTCCAAACCCTCTCTTTGTTCTCCCACGATTTCTCATCGCCTCCAAACATTCGTTCATTCGAATTTATCCACCCAGAGTTCAGATATCACCATTTAGTTATCATACAATCTCACCATTGTCGAATTTAATTTGTACAAGAATCACCGTGTTGAGTACATCCCTTTCGTTATCCTAAAAACGAAATCTAATGGAGAAATTGAATGGTGCAAGAGGGGTTATTAATCTCGAAGACACAACCAGAAGAAGAAGCAAAAGGAGGTCACAAGACAACACAATAGAAACCCCAACTCAATTGTTGTCTGTGACTGAGCGAAAAAGCCAATCAAACAAGGTTGTTTCCTCAATTTTTTTATTTTTTATTTATCGAACAATGAAAAAACATGCTAGATATTTGGGCATTCTGTGAAATGAAGTCGGTTGATGTAAATTCAGTATTGGGCATGACCTAAGGTTTTGGGTGTGAAGATTATGTTTATGGAAATTCGTTCGTGCTTATAATTAGATGTCTAATATGTTGCATGATCTTAGAGGATGATTTGTGACCCAAGCTCAGTGTATGTGACCATGGTAGATGATCTGTGACTTGAGGTCAGTGTATGCGACTTGGAGGTGCTAATCTGTGACCTTATTCATTTCATTGAAAACTAATACACATATCTGTGAACTGTTGTGATGTGATATAAATCAAAATGTTGGTTTTATTACAAGAATTCCAGTTATTGGTTTGTTAGTGACAATGCGGCATGTGTATGAGATTGTATTTGTACTTTTAATTTTGATGTCTTATATGTTGGGTGGTGTCAAAGGTACTAACATGTGACCTGTGATCTGACTCGAATGTATGTGAATTGGAAGTACTGACAGTGAATAGATCTGTGACCTGAGCTGACTGAATATGTGACTCGATTGTTCTAACAATGAAGATCTGTGACCCTATTTATCTTATTGACCCAAGTGTACATGTGTATGCATATGTGACCTGTTAGGCATAGCATGTTATTAATTGAATCTCTTTATGTTGTAACATATTATCTGTGTGTGATTTCTTTTCAGTACAAGTGTTTAACATTGTCTGTAATTTCAATATAGGCCTGGCAATTCATAATACCAGAAGACATGTGGTTTCCTGGGAAAATTACAACCTCAGTCTGTAAAGGTATCTTAAATACCATTCAGACGAGCTTAAGCCGACCACAGAAACGTATATTGATGGGAACTTGTTTTGCTCATTTTCTAGAGTGCGACGAGATCATGATACAACCACAATTGATTCACTTCTTCCTTCTGAGACAAGTTCATCAATCGAACAACGAAGAAATGTGGTTTTATGTGGCTGGAACGTATGTGAGGTTCTCTATCTCTGAGTTCTGTTTAGTCGCATGCCTGAGATGTCATGGAGAGTGTGATACACAAGTGTATGACAGTAGGATATCAAAACTGAAGGGAAAATACTTTTCTCAAGTGGATACTGTAACACATGAAGACATCAAGTCCACATTCTTCTCTGCATGTCAAATGCCAGACTTGGATCTTGTTGAAGCTCTACCAAATGATGACATTGCTAGGATGGGTGCATTGTATTTCCTCACTGCCTATATCTTTCCTAGAGATTATAAGAAAGTTGTTGACAACTACTTGTTTGCCCTAGTTGAGGACTTCGATACAATGAACAGATTCCCATGGGACAAATTACTATTTGACATTACCTTGGGTTTAATGAAATATGGGTCGAGTAGGAGAACTCCACATTACAAGCTACAAGGTATGTGGGTAGCCTTCCAAGTATGGATTTATGAGACTTTTCCAAGTCTAGATGGAATTGTTGTCACATGAACATTGAAAACGCATCCCCGAATCATGAATTGGATGGCAGATGAACAACTTTCTGGTGCTAAGTTGGAAGAAGCTGACTGCTTCGCAAATGTTGATGTAATATATCAGTAAGCCTTGCTACCAGTATACTGAACTGTTATGATTACATTTTTTCTTATATACACTTTTGCAGATTGTGATTTGTGACCTAGAACCATCAAAAACGAAAATGGCCATGCTATACATGAACAATGTTCAGTACAAGAAGCTAACTCAACCAGACTTGTCAAGTGAGAGCCGCAGGAAAAAGATGACAAAGAAGTCAGCCGACAATGCTAGTACTAGTGGAAAGTCAGTGATCCTCTTAACAGACAGCAGTATGGGGTAGCCTAATGTATCGAACGACGACGATGATTTTGTTGATCCTCCACCACAACGTTAAGAGTCACCCCCGTCAAAAATCTCCAATTGATGAAGCACTGTCGACTGCCCATAACTCTTCAGATGAACCACACCCTCACAGACATCAATGGGTTGATGTAATTATTATTTTTTTGAAATCAGCGGACATAGATCAATGTATTAGGTCACATATTACCTTTTTAAAATCATTGGTCACAGATCATTGTGATGAAGGTCATATATCCACCATATTTTCATCACAGAACATATTTTCCTAAGTCACACATAACCTTTTTTTCCCATAGAATTGGTCACACTTGTGTTGTTATGGGGTTATGCCAGGCATGTGATGATATTAGGATGCAAATATGCAAACTGAAGTCGGACAATAAATTTTTGAATAGGGAGCTCGCTGACATCAAGTCGCAGATGTAATGCTTCAATGATGTGCACTCAACAAAAATGAACTCCATTGTCCAAATGCAAGGTGTCTTAAAAAGTGACTCGATGGAGATTCGAACTAACACGCAGTTTCTGTTCAAAACTGTGTAAGCAATGATATCCAATTCAATGGAAGAGACCATGAGATGGTTTAGTGAAAAAACAAAAGATTGAGACACAGAAGTTCTCGGAGTTGGAGACAAGGGAACTCAGGTTGCTAGAGGCTCTGATAAGACCGATGAATTACTTACATGATATTTACACATTTCATTTTACACACCATGGTCACATTGATATGCCAAGTATTCTTCTTCTTCTCTAAGATACAGGTGCAAATAGTGCATCCAAATGTTAACAGGAAAGGGAAAGATAAGATAGACTCAAGTGAAGACATTGGTACCCCTTGTAGTATTTAACCACCATCGTTCAATTTGGGGATCTGATATACGCAACCTGATGACGTACACTCTAAAGACATTCAGAAATAGGTAGATTATGTTATATCTAACGTGGTGATGGCAACCAAAAGTATTTAGGTAGAAGTATTCACAAAGCCATTATTCATTCTGTACTTGTCACAGATCAACTACATGCCAATAATAGTAAACTTTAACAGGTCACAGATCATTCAAAACTTAGTCACATGCAGTGTCTATGTACGATGTGAGATTTAACAAGCTTTTACAACAATATACAGGGATCCACGTCTCCTGAAAGTCGTTCTGAATTACCAGTCAAGCGGGTTTCGAGGCCTGCAAGAATATTGTAGTCTTCGTTCGTTACTGGAGAAGGTAAATTGTTTAAACATGATAATCATGTCATAGTTTTTGAGTATTTTAAAGGCGACGTTGAAGAAGTTGACAGATCTACGTTCATGAGTTAGTTCTAGAGGGGTTTCAAACCCAAAAATAAGTACGTACAATTTGTATACATTTGAGAATGTAATTTAACAAGTCATGGTAACGCAACACTCAATATTCAATTTTATGTCTGCAAGAAAAAGTTTAACGACGAGGACAACAAAATCAAACCTGCATTCATCATCGGTTCATTACCAGTTGGTCACAAGTCATGGTTTTACAATCTTATACACACATAATCGTCTTTGAGTAGCACGATACAATAAAACCACATTATGCTGTGACATATCTATAGAGTGTCCACATATTTTAACTTTTTCACTTACATGTCATTTTTGGTCACACTTTCACATATTGGTCACATATTCATATGTTGGTCATATTTTCATAGACTGTTTCATTTTCTTACATGTCATTGTTTCCTTTTTTTACAACACATGGATGCGTGCTTCTACTACATCTGTCAACTTACAAAACATGGCAAGAACGTAAAGTTTAGAGTCACAACGACAAATTCTTGGTTTCAGCATAAAATAAAAGACATATACCATGCTTTTATGAAGGATCCCCAGGTTCTGATATCGGAGTTGAGCCTTGTTAATGTCATAACTGATCACAGCCTACCTTTAAGCACACCTTGAACTGATGTTGACCATGTGTTCATGCCAATACAGCCCACAAATAAGGCCCACTGGATGCTAGGTGTGCTACAATTTAGAAGCCGCATGTTGACAGTGTTCAATTTGATAGGTAAAATATATCGTGACTGGAAGGTTCTAGATGGCATTGAGCCATATGTGAAAATCTTGCCAGCACTTATGATTGCTTTGGGAATTTCAAAA